GGTGCTGCAGGTACGGATAGGGAAGCTCCCTGACGCCGCCGTACAAGTTAGGCGGCGAGACGTTGGCAAGTTGTCCACGGACGTGAGGGAGAGTCGTGGTGGGAGTCTGTTGATGGAAAGGACCGAATGCATTTCTGGCGTGAATATTGCTGTAATAATCCATGGTTGTTCCCTCAACTGTGCCACAAGAATACATCTCAGTGCCGTTGATTCCGCAAGGAGCAAGTGGGAAGCGGAGAGTGAGGTGGACCTTACCTGCGAGCAGTGATATACCTGTCCTGGGAATGCGGGTTCTCCTCTCGGCCGACTGTCACGTACTGCCATTGTACCGCAATGTATATTATTTATGAGCTGGGTTGATCTTCGTATAATTTTCTTAGTCCTGTATGGAAATTTTCTAATAAGTATACAAATAAAGGTAGATGTATATGAATATTTGTATATGTAAATTTTCCATCTCTATGCATATAAATATGTATATACATGCAGTATATATATATATATATATATATATATATATATATATATATATATATATATATATATATATACTGTATGTATGTGTGCATTTGTGTGTGTTTACATAATACAAATATGCGTTTTTATATACATATATATGTGAATATATGTATGTTTATATATACATGTTTGTATGAATATAAAAATACATAGATAGATAGGGTGGTATTTAGACGTACATGCACAGAATCCCTTATGACTTATTCAGAATACCATCGATTAATTTGTCATCGCTCTCTTAGGAATACTATCATTTCTAAAATTATATTATTTGAGTATTTTTGACAATGGTAAGAAAAAGCTGTATCATGCCGGACATTCGTAGTCTCCCTACACGTCACTGAAATGAGAAAGATTTCAAAAGACTAGGCTATAAATTATATTTCAGCAAAAAAAAAAAAAAAAAAAATCATTTATAGAAGCGCTGAAAGAAGGAAGGAGGAAGTGAAATGGAAGAGGAATAAGAGAAAGGACGTCATTCCGAACCCGTAATCCGAAGACACTTCACTTTCATGTTCTCCGAATTCCGCCCTTTGCCCCTCCTCCCGCCTTCTCCTCCTCCCCCTCCCCCCTCCCCTCCTCCTCTCCTCCTCCTCCTCGCTTCTCCTCTCTCCTCTTTCTCCTCTTCTTCCTCCCTGTCTCTCAACCTCTGTTCTTCCTCCTACTCCTCTCCTCCCCTTTCTATCACCACAGCTCTTTCTCTATTTCTTCCATACGTTTGATTTTATATTTATTTCTTCCTTTATCCTCTTCCTTCATATCCTCTTTATCCCCCCTATCATATCTCCTTTATTCCGCATATCATACTTCTTGCTTCTTCATCTTCTCTCTTTGATTTCTCTTCTCAGCCATTTTCTCTTCTTCCTCGTCATTCTCATTTTCTTCCTGGTCTATTTTCATCATTTCCTCTTTATTCCCATTATCTTTATTTCTCTTCTTTGTTCACTATCATTCCAAGGGGTAGTTGGAGGAGAAAAGGAAGACAGGAGGAAGAGAGAAGAGAAGGCGGAGGAGGAGGAGAAGGTGGGGAAGGAGAAAGAAGGAAGGAAGGAGGAGGAGAGATAGAATGAGGAAGAGGCGAGGAGGGAGGAGAGAGTGGGGAGAAAGGAGACAGGAGGAGGATGCGGAGAAAAAGGAGAAAGGAGGGGAGAGGAGAGAGGGGGAGGAGCAGAGGAGGAGGCGGAAACGGAGCGGGGAGGAGGAGGAAGCGGAGAAAGAGAGAGGAGGAGGAGGAGGAGAAGGAGAGAGAGGAGGAGGCGGAGAAAAGGGGAGGAGGGGAGGAGCAGAGGAGGAGGGAGCGGAGAAGGAGAGAGAAGAAAGAGAGAAGAGGAGGAGTGAAGAGGGGAAGGGGAAATTAGGAGAGGAGGCAGAGAAGTAGGAGGAGGAGGAAGTGAAAGAGAGGGGGAAGAGGAAGAGGATAAGGAGAGAGAGGACGGATATATATATATATATATATATATATATATATATATATATATATATATATATATATAATATATATATATATATATATATGTGTGTGTGTGATGCGTGTGTGAGTTCACACACACCTACACATATAATCAATTTCATTATCATTATCATTTTAATGACATTATTTTCTCATTTTATTTATTCGTTTCATATGTTACACTTAGTATACTGATAATGTAATCATTGGTATTTGTTATAAAAGAACAGGAAAACAATGTTATTGTTATCACTGGAAAAAAGTCTTTAAAATCAAGAATGGTTTTCTCTCTAACACTGATTAACACTGACAAATGGTGATTGACCGCATATGGGTGACCTGGGATGACCTGGAAATGACATCGTCCAATTCGCACCTTGTCGCGAACTTGTTATGGTATGTCATCTATAATCAACATTCTAAAATCAATGTAGGCTCTGTAACAGTTAACTCCATAGTGATGAAAACATGTGTGTGTGTGTGTGTGTGTGTGTGTGTGTGTGTGTGTGTGTGTGTGTGTGTGTGTGTGTGTGTGTGTGTGTGTGTGTGTGTGTGTGTGTGTGCTTCCCACGGTAGAGGCACGAGAACCAAGAATCATGCATCATGAAAGGTTTATGAAGTATTTCAGGTAAACGTGGAATGAATAAGATACATACCCGTGTCTGTCATGAAATCCGTCAAAGCAATGTCAAGAAAAACAAACAATTGAAAGTGAGATCAAGAACAACCCATGACACTAAGGTGACCTATGAACGAGTTCGCGACAAGTGTGAATCCGTGACTCACTCGTCACAAAATATAGGTCAGAACATGCTTCATTAGCCACTTATTAGTAGACATTGTATGGTAAATTTGACAACTCGTCAGTGAAATATTGCAGTAATAGTAACGTAACATTGTTAGGATCAGCCTTTTTTTTTTATTTTGGATTTGAATGTCTGTCTCATTGTGCGTAAAATCTAAATCATACCATATCGAACACAACGATATTTACATTTTCAGAAAAGGGATTAAGAGACTAACCTTCGATCACAATATATACTGTCTGTGATTCGTAGTCCTTTGGGCACGTGTATTTTAATCAATCAATATATGTACAAAATAGATAAATCAAATTCGTTTGCATTACCCTTATTACCTACATTTTCAGTAGCACTAAAATACGTATTACACTTACGCTGATAAGTCAGTTTACGACGTTTACCGTCCTCTTGACTAATTGTGACCTGAAATGACCTGAGGGTTACAACATTCAATTCACACCTTGTCGCTAACTTGTTATTGTTGGTCACTCTTGGTAATGTTATAATTATGAGATTCCTGACAACTGAAACTAGTGTAACTTCCTAATTAGGATATTTGTTGCTAACTGTGAGAAAATATATAGAAAATGCCATCAAATGCAAAGCATAAAACAAGATTATGTGTGAGAGAGAGGGGGGGTATATACTGATATAATAAAATCTATTAGGAATTCTCATATGGTAAATTTACACAATATATTGCCTATAGCAAAATTTATACATAGACTTAAATATGTAACAACAATATTTTCCTCCTCATTAATCTATTCATTTAAAGGAAATGAAGAAGTCTGTTAAGCCGGTTGATGTAAATGATTGATATGAGGATGAATCAGAAATCTGACTGATAGGCCAAACGCAAGATAATGAGTTGTGGGGGAATTCATGTACCTAATTTCGTTATAATTCACAAGCTAAGATGTTCTTTCCTTTCAAAATAGTACTAAAAAAGGTCAAGAGTTAGATAAATACCCTTGGCCTAATTGCCCATAAGTGTACATTATTTCAAAAGAGTTCGCGACAAGGTGCGAAATGGTTGCTCACCCGAGGTCATCTCGGGTCAAGCCGTTTCTCCTCGTCATCTATTATCGCTACAGAAGAATCAAAGGAAAAAGAGCATCAAATTTCCTAATCACACTAGCGAAATATCTTAAATAATTTCATGCAATTCTGCAGAAATTATAAGACTACCTTCCTCTAAATATAAGAAATCGAGAAAAAGATATACAGAATGAACTTTCGGGTTTTGTCGACCTGCCATACCTGGGAAGTGGGCGGAGAAGCGACCTCGTGCTCTGATTGGCTGACGTCATCCAGAGCCCAGGTATATTACCTTCCCCGATCACGGACATCGTCACACTTCTCCCAGCGTCTGTTGCATCGACAGCCAGTTTTATCAAGATGTATCCCGTCAGTGCCTTAGGAGGACCGCAGTTATCTCACTGGGTGGCGGTGATGGCCTGAGCAGCTTCCATTCCTATCAGCAGCCAGGTTTACCATTAACGCCGTCGCCTGAAGCTCACAGAGGATATTTCGCCAATGTTTCGCCTACGTCCTACAGTGGAGTCAGTGCTTTGCCTTACCATTCCCTTCAGCAGTGCTACGGCCAGCACAACGGCGTCGCGACCCCAATGCTCTCTCCTCCTCCTGAGAAGCCGGTTACGCCGCCGAAGGATGTGCAGACGCGTCCCTGGGAGCACGAGCGTTTCCACGACACCAACGTCACACATCCCCCACAGCTTCCGCCATCCTCAGTATGCCAGTCCAACGGTACCACCAACAGGTCAAGCAACTCCTCCGTTTCTTCAATCCCTCCCGATTGCCGTTGCGCAGGATTCCGTTTCGCACCATCCAAATGCCATCGCCTCTGCTCTCCTCAACGCGCAGTCATCCGTCAGCGTTCGGCGTTGTCGACGATGCCGTTGCCCCAACTGTCTGAATGCCCCACGAGACGGTTCAGGTGCCAAGAAGAGGGAGCACGTTTGCCACATTCCCGGGTGCGGCAAAGTGTACGGCAAAACGTCCCACCTCAAGGCTCACCTCCGGTCCCATGCCGGAGAGAAGCCCTTCGCGTGCCAGTGGATCTTCTGCAACAAGGCCTTCACTCGCTCCGACGAACTCCAGCGCCACCTCAGAACGCACACGGGCGAGAAACGTTTCGAGTGCGTCGAGTGCGGCAAACGTTTCATGCGCTCTGACCATCTCAACAAACACGTCAAGACCCACGAGAACCGACGCGCCCGTCTTGCTTCTGCTTCTCCTGCCGAAGGTGACGACGTCGACGTGGAACTCTGCGATGACGCCGTTGAAGACTGTGCGGAGGAACTTATCTCTGTTACGCTGCCAGACTCTCCCGTGTCTGAAGCAGAGCTGCAGGAAGCTGATACTGACGTCGAAGATTTGCTAGAGAACTCTTATCTATGTGGACAGGATAACCACCTGTCGCAATATGGCTATATGCAAAACTTCCAGATCTAAATTGCACACTAGTTAAAATTTCCTGGGTGAACCATCTATGTAAAACCCCGTGATTATATATTTACTTATTGGAAATAAAAGATTCATATATAATTTCCTATCATATACCTTGATTTAGCTATATCTATCGCATGCCTAATAGACGAAACAGTCTTATTATTATTATCATTATCGTATTATTATATTATTATCATTATTATCAGTATTATCATTACCATTACCATTATATTATTATCATCATCATTATTATCATTATCTCTATCGTTATCATTATCGCTGATGTTATTATTCTAATCACATAGGAATATATATCATAAGATATAGGAATATGTAAAATATATAATAGAAATACAAAATATGAAACAATATAAATGCATATTACAGAATGTGATAGAAATATCATACAAGACATAACGGGTAATATATGGTATGAGATATAATGGAAACTATAAACTATAATAAAACATACTAATAACATCCCAAATAATTTGAAAGTGTTGAAAATAACGCAGCTGGCAACTCCGATGAAGGTCACAACTCGCGTCCTCATTGGCTGTCGCCTTTTGCAGTCCACGTATATTACCTTCCACAGGTGAGGTTCTACATAGCCTCCAGGCTAGTACACGTGTCGGCTTCTCATCCGAGGGTCGGCGGTTCGCGCCCCGCCTAGGAGCGAGAAGTTGCAATTGTTGCCCGGAGGTTAAAGTGTGCCCACAATGGCCCAGTTCACGTGTGCCATGTTCCAGGATGTGGCAAGCTCTACGCCAAGACTTCTCACCTCAAGGCACATCTGCTCTCGCACAGCGGAGAACGCCCCTTCGTGTGCCACTGGATCTTCTGCAACAAGGCCTTCACTCGATCCGACGAACTTCAGCGCCATCTCAGAACGCACACCGGTGAAAAACGTTTCCAGTGTGAAGAGTGCGGAAAACGTTTCATGCGTTCTGATCATCTGAACAAGCACGTCAAGACGCACCAGAACCGACGCGCCCGTCTTGCTTCTGCTTCTCCTGCCGAAGGTGACGACGTTGACGTGGAACTGTGTGACGATGAGTTTCTCTCCGTACTCTGCCAGACCCTCCCGTGCCTGAGACGGATTTTCTAGAGGATGAGGATGTAACGGGAATGATCAGATATACATCAACCAGTTTCTATGATTCAAAACTTTGTAAAATATTTATAGGTGAACCTTTAAATGTACCAAGGTGATTTAATAAGAATAAAATGCCACATTGAAATATCTGTTTTGCATTTGAAACATGATTCCTAGACTCACCTATATCAAAGAGAGAAGTTAGAAAAACGCAGATGTATAAGATCAAAGGCTTTATATGATATCAACATTTGCAAATATCCATATATATATATATATATATATATATATATATATATATATATATCAAGTGTGTGTGTGTGTGTGTATAAAAGATATATCAATAATTATAATAACAGAAAAAATATCCTGTAAACTTACGTAATTGTGTATACCCGGATTATATATACCCTTTTCTATAGACAATTATGAAAAAAATGAATCATATAAGAAACAAAAAGAAAAAAGAAAAGCAAGAGGAAATCAAATATTAAGAAGATTGGACTCCAAATGAAAATTGTTGATTTGTTGATTGTCAAACTGGTATTGTCGGGTATATATATATATATATATATAATATATATATATTATATATATATATATATACTTAAAAATGTGTGTATATATGGACACAAATATATGCCTACTCAAACAAATAATTGTTAATATATTTATATACATAGATATGTACATATATATAACATGTGTGTTTCTGTGTGTGCATGTCACTTGCAATCTATAAGACTTTTTTCCGTTTATTCTTGTTTAAGATTAGATTAAATCCGAAAATGAGACGATTTTCTATACCATCCAACCCCTCTTCCTCGCCCGCATCAGAGCTGCCTGCCCAAGGTCACTCAGCTCGACCCAGGACTGCTTCTAATCACCCAGGATCTAATGATTACATCGGAGACTTTACAGGCTGAGAAAATCGAAACTGCGTTTAAAATGACAGGGAAATCGTGTTTACTTTTCGAGGGTTGTCATTCTGCAAAGCCACCCATCCTCCATTCTCCTTGGCTCATCTCATCCTAAAATATGAAATGCTTGTGGCTAATATGCATCATCATCACTATACTTCTCTGTTAGAGAATATATGATAATTCATAACATGCAGAATTCATCTGAAGAAGCTATAAATAACATTTTCGACTGTTTACCTTTCGTATAATTATTCTCACCTTTGAGTGGATTTATATGGTTATCCCAAGAAAAAACGTCTTTATATTCTGTATTATCATGCGGGCATAGTATTTGACTTCGACAAAATATTCTTCTGATGAATCATACAAAACAAATTCATTTTCATTTTTTCTTGGAGAAAAGTAGTTTGATATTCATTCAAGTAGAAACAGCAAGTCGGTTTTCGGAACAGCCATTTTCCTTTGAGGCGGGGCAGAGGGGCGGTGTTGGGGGGCCCAGGCAGGAGGGGCCAGGGCGGGGTCAGAGGGCCAAGGGCGGAGCGCGGCGAGTAACAAAGAGGTTGAACTCGATCATGACCTCATCATCACCTGTTTCTTTGTTACTTGATTTATGACCCGGAACCAATTTCTCAATGACTACCGCTAAAAGACAGATAGTGAATGGCTAACTTTAACTCTCCTGTCATAGTTTTATAGAATATATGGCTATTCAAATCAAGGACCTATATAAATGCAGAATTAGACGCTGAGTGTGTCCAGCGCTAGTGAAGTATACGCGTTCATATTACAATCTTTGAAATGAATGCACTGGGGCTCATTCAACAAGACACCGAAGGTCAATCTTTTTAAATATTAGCTTACCATACTATTAGTAGTAATAGTGACTGGTTGATGAAGATTCCTCGACCTTCACACACTCCTCTTTGAATTCCACTTAGCATTGAAGGTCTGTTTTACGCATCAAAGGTAGAAAAAGAAATGTAATGAAAAGCATAAATTCCCACTACTCCTGTTGCCTCCCCTCTTCTGTTTTGACATTTCGTTTGTTGAAATTTGTCAAAACAAGCACTGCCAACAAATGCTAATGACGCCCATGAGGTCAGTCATAATTAGAACGTTGAAGTGACCGACAAACGAGTTCGCGACAAGGTGTGAATCGGTGGCTCTCACAATAGGTCATTTCAGGTCATACATGTAGAGAACAGGGAAGCAATCTCTATTAGTGATAAAGTGCAGCTGTTCTTAGTAGGGGATTATTTTGGCAATTCTTGACATAAAAAAAAAAAAAATAGTATTGTTATCCAACTCTTTTGTTTTCTTCCTTTCCGTTTTTTTTTTTTTTTTTTTTTACATTACTTACTTACAAGGACTAACTTGACAAAATAAAAGGTAAGTCGACTTGTCACAGTAAGCAGCTCGCCACTGTTTCGGAAGGTAAGTCATCAAAGTCTCATCACGGAAATCTTGTAAGAATTTTAGGAGGGGGCGGGGATAATGAGAGTAGAATGAGGAAGGGGGAGATAATGCAAGGAGGGGCGAGAGTTAATTTCTCTCAATTGTGGTTAGTAGTTTTGTTGCACTTGAAGTTGTTTTCAATTCTTTAGTCTTAAATATCTTTCTTTATGATAATTTCTGTGTATTATCTTGTAACGCCCAGCATAAAAAAAAGTATATTGCATAATGATGTTCCCTAAAAATAATTTGTAATTTGTATGATTAAACAATTTTCTATATATTGTCCATATATTAGTAACGATTAAAATACGCATTCACACACACACACGTATATATACATACATACATATACATGACATGTGTGTTTATGTATGTGTGTATTTATGTATGCTATACATATGTAGTCTGTGTACATATGTATGTGTGTACATATGTAGTGTTGTGTAACATATGTATGTGTGTACATATGTATGTGTGTACATATGTATGTGGTGTACATATGTATGTGTGTAAATGTATGTATGTGTGTACATATGTATGTGTGTACTGTACATATGTATGTGTGTACATATGTATGTGTGTACATAATGTATGTATGTATGTGTGTACATATGTATGGTGTGTGTACTATGTATGTTGTGTACATATGTATGTGTGTACATTGATCGTGTGTACAGTATGTATGTGTGTATCATATGTATGTGTTGTACATATGTATGTGATGTACATATGTATGTGTGTACATATGTATGTGTGACATTGTATGTGTGTACATGTGATGTACATATGTATCTGTGTGTACATATGTATGTGTGTAGCATATGTATGTGTGTGTAACATATGCTATGTGTGTACATATGTATGTGTGTACAAGTGTGTACATATGTATGGTGTACATATGTATGTGATGTACATATGTGTGTATGCTATGTAACATATGTATGTGTGTACATAGTATGTATGTGATGGTACATATGTGCTATGATGTGTACAAATGTATGTGTGTACATATGTATGTGTGTACATATGTATGTGTTGTACATATGTATGTGTGTACATATGTATGTGTGTACATGTGATTGTACATATGTGCGCTGTACAATGTATGTGTGTACATAGTATGTGTGTACATATGTATGTGTGTACATATGTATGTATATGTGTGTAACATATAACATACAAACACATATGTATGCATATGTATCTCTCTTCTATGATATGTACATATACATATATATATATAATATATATATATATATATATATATAGTATATATATATATATATATACATCATACATGTATGTATGTATTCGCAAAAATAAATATCACAAACACTATGTATGCATATGTATCTGCCTCTCTATGATATGTAACATATAATATCATTTTTTAATATAATTATATATTATATACTATTATCTATATATATACTATATATATATCATATATATATGATCATATAATATACATACATTCATGTATGGTATGTATTTCCAAAATAAATATCACAAACACATATGTATGTGCTTTTGCGTGGGTGTATTTGTTATTTACATGTACGCATATTTATTTAACCGACGCACCCGCTTCCTCCTGCCGAAGGTGACGACGTTGACGTGGAACTGTGTGACGATGAGTTTCTCTCCGTTACTCTGCCAGACTCTCCCGTGTCTGAGACGGATTTTCTAGAGGATGATGTAATGATGAATGGCCACATACATAGCATCAACCAGTTTCTATGAAATTAGCCTTTGTAAGACTCATTTATAGGTGAACCTTTTAGATGTACCCTCGGTGATTTAGAAAGAGTAACACGTAACATCAAATATCTGTTGTACATCTGAAACCTTGATTTCCAGACTCATCTATATATAAGAGAGAAATTACTCATGGAAAACGCAGATGCATAAGATCAAAACTCCTTATATGCCATGAACATTTGTAAATGTCCAGTGGAGGATATTAAAAATGATAATAACCAGCCTAAACTCATGTCCGAGACAGTTTATTGATGTGGATTCGCCCAGAAGTATACATTCTTGTCAATCGACAGTTAAAATAGATATTTTTCATGGCAACAAATAAATGAAAACTAAAAAGTCTCGACTACATAATTGTTTAAGACGACCAAAACAGACAAAAAAAAAGAGGAATGACAATCAACATTTAATAAATAGCCACATACACAAAAATGTATAATATCATATCACCTCTGTGCGTGTGTGTGTCACCTGGAATCTGTAAGACCAGCTATGGTTACCGTTGTTTGAACTTAGGTAATATCGGAAAATGACACGATTTTCGTGCACCACATTCTTCAAAAATGGCAAGAAAACCATTGTCAGCTTTCAAGGATTATAATTCCGCAAAGCCGGCCATTCCTCATCCTCTCTGCTCACCTGAACCTAAGAATATGAAACTTTTGTAGCCATTGTGCATCGGTTATCCCAATGCTGTTCTGGTAAAGAATATAAGATATATATTCTTACATGCATAATACATTTGAATTTGGAAGGAATTATATTTTGTGTAAATCGTTTTCACTTGTGAGGTGCATATGACAAGTGTGTCTAAAGTAAAACATTCTCATTATAATTTATGGTATTAGTAAGCACTGAGTAGCATTTTTTTAA